CGGAGTTCAGAAGATAATAATTTTTCAAAAATTAGCAAATAATTTACCAGATACGTTTACTGATTATAAATGAGTGACTAGGTCCTATATTTCTGTAGAAAATGCTCCGTCAAGAATAATTGTCCCTAAGGACCAAGTACTGAGACCGGTACTCCTCATCGCTAGAAGCGTGGTCGACCAATCGGTGCAAAAGATTTAACTCCGCGAAAAATCAAAATTAGTAAACAATCACAGTTACTCCAGAAAATTTTAAATAACCGCCTTGAATACGGAGAACCCAGTAAAATTGCACGTGTTTTAACACACACACACACACACACACACACACACACACACATATATATATATAGGATTATTTTCAAATACAAACCCCCCTTAAACTACAAACTGTGTGAATGTAAGTATGTTAATGTGTGCACGAGCTTTGATGGATGGTTGTGATTTTTTCCTCTTACGCGTTGTGTGCATGTAAGTATGTTAATGTGTGCACGAGCTTTGATGGATGGTTGTGATTTTTCCTCCTACGCGCCGTGTGCATGTAAGTATGTAAATGTGTGCACGAGCTAATCCCAAAAATTGTTGGTAGTGCGCCCTGTGTGCATGTAAGTATGTTAACATGTGCACGAGCTCAAGTTTATATTTTAAGGGGTTTGTATTTGAATGCAACCCCCCCCTCCCCCTCTCTCTCTCTCTCTCTCTCTCTCTCTATATATATATATATATATATATATATATATATATATATATATATATATATATATATATATATATATATATATATATATATATATATATATATATATATATATATATATATATAAAAGTACCCGAGGGTATCCAAAATCCTTTCTGGAAAGGAAAGATAGATCGAAACATGTATAACATAAAACTACAAAAGTCACTATATGATTTAAAACAACGGGAAGGAATGTTGTTCTGTCGATTGAGTGAATTCCTCTTAAAATAAGGATATGAAAATAAAGATATTAGTCTTTGCATCTTCACTAGGAAATCATCTTATGGTTTTTGTATAATATCCATTTATGTCAATGATATAAATATTATTGGAACACACAAAGATGTTAAAAGGGCATTCTTATGTTTAAAGGATACATTTGAAATGAAAGACTTAAGAAAAACCAAGTTCTATCTTGGGCTGCAGTCGAGCATCTCAGTGAAGGAATTTTCATACACCAATCTAAATATACAAATAAACTATTGGAGAAATTTTATATGGATAAATCTCACCAACTTAGTACTCCAATGGTGGTCCGATCACTTGAAGTTGATAAGGTCCCATACAGACTAAAGGAAGATAGTAGGGATATTCTAGGACTAGAAATCTCTTATTTAAGTGCCACAAGAGCACTTCTTTATCTTGCCAATTGCACTAGACCTGGCATTGCATTTTTAGTAAACATGTTAGCTTGATTTAGTGCTGCTCCAACCAGAAGACATTGGAATTACGTGAAATATATCCTCAGATATCTTCAAGGTACAAATGATCTTGGGCTTCTATTTGAAAGAAATTAAGATGCCACATTAGTAGGATATTCGGATGCTGGTTATATGTCTAATCCACATAACACTAAAATCCCAAACTGGATATCTATTCCTTTATGGAGGTACTGCTATTTTATAAAAATCCGTTAAATTAAACAGACACTAGTAGCTACCTCCTCTAATCACTCAGAAATCATTGCTTTATATGAGACTTCAAAAGAGTGTGTATGGTTGAGGTCATTAATACATAATATTCAAAGATCATGTGGAATAACAGGTATTGGCCATATCCCCACTATCATGTATGAGGATAACGCAACATGTGTTGCACAGATGAGTAGTGGATATGTTAAAGGAAACCTTACAAAGCATATTGCACCTAAATTCTTTTATCTACACGATCAAACTCCAAAAGAGTGGTGAAATACAAGTTCAGAAGGTTCGATATATTGACAATCTAGCATATTTGTTCACTAAGTCCCTACCTACATCCACATTTGAAAAGTACGTTCATAAAATTGGGATGCGTAGGATAGGGAGATTATTGTCTTTAGGGGGAACACCAATGTCTAAGTATGATTGATTTATTGGTCCTAATGATCAAATATTTCAAACCCTGAAAATCTACAATTGTACTCTTTTTTTCTTAACTGAGTTTTTTCGCACAGGATTTTCTCAGTGTAAGGGTTTTAATGAGGCAATCGAAACAACACATGCATTACCCATATATCGTGTACTCTTTTCTCGACTAGATTTTTCCCACATGATTTTTCTAGCGAGTCTTTTTAATGAGGCATGATGGAAAAATAATGTCCAAATGGGAGTGTTATAAATAGATAATAAATGTGGACATTATGTTAATTGATATTGTAACGGACGTAACAGTCTATTAATTAAGCCTACCATTATTGCATTCGTTATATTAGCATGGTATATAAAAAGACATGTATTGTATTGTGTATTGGATGAATGAAAATCCTGGTAACCTACATTATTGTCTACTCTCTCTCTCTTTTACTCTTTATATTATCGCTATTCGATCCATTCCACTCAGGGGCAGAGCCAGGATTTTTTGGTGTGGGGGGCTAATCACAATCTGAGAGAGAATAATAAAACATATTAATATTTATTTAACATATTTTAAAATACATCATTATATTACAAATCTACTAAAATTTGGAATGTCTTCCAGAATGCAATTGCTCAATACTTATAAATGAATTTACTTGAGATATATAAGTTTCAGAATTATTTCTTTTAAAGAAAAGATAAATTATTTGTGTCTTTTTCATTTCAACTCAAACTTGCGATGTTCACAGTGTTAATTTTTTTGACAAATCAATTGAATTAACTAAAACTGGAAAAAAGAAAAAAGAATAAATAGACAAAGATTAAAGTAGCTGAAATTTAAAGATTTTGGTAGCAAAATGACAAGTTATTATTATATATAATAAACACAATTGTAATGTATTTCATTTGCAAATTAAAAAAGACAAAGATTAAAGTAGTAGAAATTTTAAGATTTTAATAAATTATAATAAACACCATTGCAATGTATTTCATTTGCAAATTAAAAATGACAAAGATTAAAGTAGCAGAAATTTAAAGATTTTAGTAGCAAAATGACAATTTATTATTATAATAAACACAATTGCAATGTATTTCATTGGCGAATTAAAAAAATAACTACGTGTTTCAAAAAAAAAAAAAAAAAACTACCTAGATAGCAAATTAGCAATCCAACTAAGTTACCCTAGAAGCTTGCTTGGAGGGGGTAAAATAACAAATATTTAGTGAGGGGGCCAAAAAAAAAAAAAAAACTACAATACTAATAAAAAAAATTGGTTGGGGTGAGGGGTGGGGGGAGGGGGGGGGGGGGGGAGAGGGGGGACAAGGCCCCCTGCAACTTCCATGTGGCTCCACCACTGATTCTACTGGGAAAACGCTAAGGGCCAAGGAGATCATAACCTTTATAAGTTTTATAAGACGGAAGACATTTTTCAGATTCATTATTTTCTCGTATTTATCTTCTTACTCAAATATTTTCAAGCTAGTTTCCAAATTATTATTACTATCACCACCGCAACTTATTATTATTATTATTACTCCGTATTATTTTACTAGTATTTTATATGCGCGATGCGCAAAAAATATATGCTCAATATTAAAATTAAATATTAAAATCTTAGTTATATTATTTTGTGTGTGTGTGTGTGTGTGTGTTTATATATATATATATATATATATATATATATATATATATTATATAATTATATAATTATATAATTCATATTAATATTATTGAGGTAAGAATTATAGAAATGATAAATTACTAAATATAACTATGGTAACATTTTAATTAAAATCTAAAAAAATTCAAACTTACCATTAAAGGATGTAATAAAAAATATTATGTATGCATGTACATGGTAATAATAATGTGGTAAGATAATAGAAGTTATAACAGCATGGATATTTTTGTCCAAAAAATTTTATAGTACAACTTTTATAGCATAAGGTACAAAAAAAATTAACAGAAAAAACGGACATAAACCAGAGATATAATATGGATTGAAACTTATTATGTTTTTAGATTGAAACTTATTATGTTTTTAGATAACAAATAATAAGAGTAAATACCCAAAATGGTCCCTCGACTATAGCTAAATTCACAAATTGGTCATCGACTTTCAATTTCAACCAATTAAGTCATTAACTCTGCAATTTTGACCCGATTTGGTCCTCAATCTATTTGACCGTTTGTTGACCGTGATCTTTGAGGATATATATGTAGTTTCACGTGCAAAGCTCAATAGAACGCTCTTGGAGGTGACATCGTTGTTGCGGAGGGGGGAAGTGCTTCTCCGCTTGTTGCTTGGGGATCACGAACCGGTTCAGCTTAGAGAACGCTCTTGGAGGTGACAGCGCCGTTTCGGAGGGGGAAGTGCTTCTCCGCTTGCTGCTGGGGATCCCGAGCCGGTTCAGCTTGCCTACATCACTTGGAGTCACGACTTTCTCGAAGAGCCACTCCAGGGACTTCGACGATCTATCTATCAAAAGCTATAATCTCTCCGGCATGGGGTGCAGCGCCGACAGTGGATTCAAATGTAACAGTGCGGTCTAGAAATGCAACCGGAACCTTAAAAAACCGACGATGGACCATGAAATTACATATATATCCTAAAAAAATGCAGTCAACAAACGGTCAAATAGACAAAGGACCAAATTGTGTTAAAATTGCAAAGTTAAGGACTTAATTGGTTGAAATTAAAAGTCGAGGACCAATATGTGAAGTTAGCTATAGTCGATGGACCATTTTAGGTATTTACTCAAATAATAAGTTATTTTCCAAAAAATGAACCAAACAATAAAAATCAATTTCTTAATTTTTAACTAAGTTAAAAAGATAATTTTATGACATTTAATTAAATATTAAAAATAAAATTATTTTTCAAAAAATGAAATTTTCCGAATAACATATTTTCAAACCTAAGCTTTAGCAATTACGTTGGGCAATCTCGAGTATCGGCAGTCCCCCCTGAAATATCCAACCCTTCGTGTCACATTTCTATGGCGCTGCATATAGACATATAGTCTTACAAGTTTGAACTGCACCCTACTATACATACAACAAGAAGATTAGGGAGAGTAGCAGTAGAAGATGGCCGAAGAATCAGAGAAGAGGTTTCATGCGGTGATGGACAAACTTTTTCAGACTCCTCCCAAATCCAAACTCCCCGCCATCAGGTTCTCTTTCGTTCTCCCTATTTCTCACATTTTGTTTTATCGTTTTTTTTTAATAATTTTTTTTTTTTTTTCAATTTAGCTTTTGGATTTGTATATTTATCTTTCAAATCGTGCTGCGGTTAAGAGTTGCAATTTTGAGGGTGTTAATGTGCGCTCAGATGGTTTGGTTTTGACAAATTGCTTTGTTTATTTGTGTTTATGCCAAAATAGTTCATCGGAAGTTCAGTTATCAAGAGGCAAGAAACGAGCAAATTCTTCCTATGCATTAGTAGTATCCGATCCGAAATCGACATTCAAGGCGGGTGAGAGATTACGGAATTTGTCGGATTCGAGTGGAGAAACTCAAGCTTCTCCTTGTAGACCATGGGACAGAGGTGATTATTTTAGAAGGCTGGCCACTTTCAAATCTATGTGGTGGTTTGCTAAACCGCAGGTTAGATTTTAGCACCTACTGTTGTTGTGTTACTCTTCTCATATATAATAAGAATATGAAGCTTGTTCTTATAGTACTTAATGGCTCCTCTAATATGTGAATCAACTTTCTGGGGATTTGTTCGAAGAGTAGCAATTCTTATGGTAATTTTATTCACAAAAGTGACACCAAGCCAGTGGTTAAGCTTTGCAGAAGAAAATAGATTGTGTTTAGTGCTTAGGAACTCCAACAGCTCTTCCATACCAACATCGCAACATTAGATTCTTCTTCTTCTTCTTCTTAAAAAAAAAAAAGAACTGAACTTGTTATCATAATAATAATGAGTACATGGGAATAATGTTAAGGCTGGGGGTTTAGTTAGTTGTATTTTTGGGCAATTATTGATTCTCTGATTTCCTGGCATGACAATTTTTAGAATTTCATGATTTAAACTTATTGAGCTTCCTTTCTTAGATACTTGTGACAACATTTTATGAGATTACATCTTAGTTTCTTAATCTCTTTTCCTTAGATTATGTTGTGTGCTCTTGAAGGATTTCTTTATGTAGCCATTAAATATACACTTGTTTTGCCTTTTGCTTGTTTTGCATAGGTAAAGATACATTTTATGTTCTTCAGCTTGTATTAAAAACTTCTCTGAGATTTTAAGATTTTTAAAATTCAATGGTATGAAGTGCATACTCTGATCATCATAACAGGTGGTAAGTGCAGTAAACTGTGCTAGAAGGGGTTGGATAAACGTAGATATGGATACTATTGCATGTGAAGCATGTGGAGTGCGCCTTATCTTTACTTGTCCACCATCTTGGAGCCAACAACAAGGCAAGTTGTACTACAACTCCCCCCTCCCCAGTCCCCACTCCTCCCACTCTCCAACACTTGTTGACGTTAACAAGCAGTACTCGTTATCTTTTTTCAACTTAGCCTTGATAAAATGTTGTTTCTTTCTATTTTTGATGGGTGACCAACAGTTGATAAAGCAGCCTTAGTATTCAGCTTGAAACTTGACAGCGGACACAAGCTGCTTTGCCCATGGGTTGACAATGCCTGTGACGAAAAGCTAGCAGCCTTCCCACCAATGCCTACTACTGTTTTAGTTGATGAATATAAATCCCGTTGTTCTGCTCTAGTGCAGCTTGTAGCCCTACCTGTGACTTCTTCTTCTATAGTTAATTGCTTGGGAAGCACCCGGTTAGAAGAATTTCTCAAAACATCTTCAGCAGTAGAGTCTGACAGGTCCACTGAAACTTCTAGAGAAGATGATCTTGGAAACCAACCGAAATCTACTTCATCTCTCACATATTATCAGGTTTGCAAGTTAAATTTCACTGATGGTGCAATTAAGTTGTGATTCTTTTGCACTTTCATGCAGTTACAAATTCCTTTGGACTAAAAATGTTGTTCATATTCTTACCATGACATGCAAAATGTGAGCTGGTTTGATCCTGTGGCTTTAACATGCTAACTTTTAGCTCCTTTCTGGTCCTTTACCTTCTGTTTACACCCTGCACATTAAAGCACGGGTTTGAGCTGGTGCTCCTAAATCTCTTTATTGGCTTCTTGTGGTTATCTCTAATTAGTCTAATATCTTGAACTAATTTCTCATAACCATGTCTATATTTCCTTTCAGTTCTTTCAACTGTTTATTACTTCATTATATCAATAATATAATATAAACTGGTAAACCCCTCCTATTAATTGGTGTTACTGTATTGAATATTTTCAGGCACAAAAGCTGATTAGTTTATGTGGCTGGGTACCCCGTGCTTTGCCATATGTTGTTGATTCCAAGGACCAATTAAATCAATCTGCTAAAGATAACAAGCATGGATATTTATCTCAGTTTAGTGGACTGAACCATGGCATTACCATTCTTTCTTCTAATGAGAATAGTGGGGCAAATGATGATATTCAAACATCTGATGGTGCAATTTCTGATCCTAATTCTGTTGCTTTGGAGTGTCAGATTTGTGGGGCCCGTGTTGGATTATGGGCATTTTCTACAGTTCAACGTCCTCTTGAATTTTTAAGGTTGAGTGGATATATGGATATTAATAGTGAAAATGCAGCTGATAATCACATGGGTGGTGCTCCAGGAAACCTTATTTTGAGCAATGACAATCGTGATAATAGTAAAGAAGGCACTGCAAATACTGCACTAGCTGTTTCCACAATATTGAATGATAGACCAAATTCAAATATAACTATTGCAGGTGGCCCCCTTCCGGCATCGCAAAATTATAGGGCAAAAATATCACTTCCTGTTGTTGGACAGAATATAAGAGCTAGATTTTCAACTGATTCTGAGATAAGGGTTTGCTTAACTGCTGAGGAGTCACTCTTGGTAGGCAAAGGTCAGAACATTTCTCTGGATGAACAGAATAATGCCGAACAAGAAATATCTGATACCAGTAAATCAGACCCAATTGCAGAAGAGCAATCAGAGGACACTCAGATGGTAGCACAAATTTCAAGTGAGGTTGGCAAACTACCAGATCATGCAGATGATGTTGAAAAAGTTGATCCAGTTGTTGCAGTAAATGCCGAACAAGAAATATCTGATACCAGTAAATCAGACCCAATTACAGAAGAACAATCAGAGGACACTCAGATGGTAGCACCAGTTTCAAGTGAGGTTGGCAAACTACCAGATCATGCAGATGATGTTGAAAAAGTTGATCCAGTTGTTGCAGTAAATGCCGAACAAGAAATATCTGATACCAGTAAATCAGACCCAATTACAGAAGAGCAATCAGAGGACACTCAGATGGTAGCACAAGTTTCAAGTGAGGTTGGCAAACTACCAGATCATGCAGATGATGTTGAAAATGTTGATCCAGTTGTTGCAGATCATTCTACATCCCAAACTGGAGATGATCTTGGATCAAGTAGAGAAGGTGGAGGCACATCTCATCAGGGAAAAACTACTGAGCATAATGGATTAGAGGTTGGAACTTGCAATTCCAAACAAGCAATCAAGCAACGTGACAGCAAGGATGATGGAGTACAATCGACAATTCAGAACCATGATGTTGTGCCAACTATAGGTATGACCATATGAGCCCATTCATTGTCATGTTTTTCCAGCCAAGAGTGTCACTCTTAAGTTTCTAACTGTTCCCTGATTTTTAGCTTCTGTTATTGCTTCCCGTTGTATATATGCATATAGGGTCCTATAAGAGTAAGTTGTGAATTAGTATTCTCTGCTTCCCTTTTTGTTGTAAAATTATTTTGATACAAGTAGAGGAACTTGAGAATCTCATTAATTGGAGTGATAATGCAGAATTTTTTAAAGAACCATTCACTTTTACAGATGGAGATGAAGTGGGATAATGGAACTTCTTAAGCACCACCACAACCCAATTAAGAAAAATGTTGAAAGTACTAGGGATGTAAAAGTCTTGTAATATCATTGTTTATAGGTCCATATACTTATGTACTCATTAGGTTAGATAACTCTTTACAAGTATATAGCAAATTAGATGAGCACATAAATTGAATAAGCTGGAGTTCCAAATGCTTATTTCAATACAATTTGCTCTTCTCTGCAACATGGCATGTTAGTAACCACCTATCAATGATGAATTTAAGTTAGATTTTCTATTTTTGCAACTACAATGAAGCTAAATTTACCTCTGAGAATTGAGGTTATATATTGCCTTTTGTTCTGTCAGTTTTTTATAACTATGGAAAGGAAAGCCAGCCAGTGATATTTTTCCAGATGCTAATCTGATTTCTTCTGTTATATGTTGAGCATATTTTTTCCAGATTCTAATCTGATTTCTTCTGTTATATGTTGAGCTGAGTGGTAATCCTTAAAATTTTATTTTATTTTTTTTCAGCAAAGGCTTTACAGGAAGTACCACTAGACAGAGGTACAGAGTTCGATCCGATAAGGCTACACAAACATTTCTGTCCCTGGATTGCATCTAGTAGTGGCTCTGCACCTGGATGGCAACAAACTTTATCTGCTTTGGAATCTAATAAGGAGTTTTCTCATCCTTTGACTGGAGATGCCCCTTCGTCATCCCTGATTAAGGTAAGGAAGAGAAGAATTTAGTAGCATCTAATGATAGTAATGGTAACCTAACTTGAATTCACTGATAAAACAAAGATATAGGCTCCCCGTGTCTCATTCCAGTGGCTGAACTTCTATCTTTTTCTTTCCTGAAATATTTACAAATTTCAAAACTTCAATTACTTAAGATAGCCGTTGCTTTGTAATTAATTTGAATTTCATGTGATATCTTCTGCATATGCTTCATTGTCTTTCCCTCAATCCACCGAATATTTAACAACTCCAACTAGCTGCAGCTTCATGCATAATATTTGATATAAACTAAGAACGTAGTGCAGTGATTAATTTAGGCGTACTTTTTCATTACCTTTCTCCAACTTATCTTATCCTTCATACTAGAATATATAATTTGTCGAACACAAACGTGTTTAATGCAACAGTTGTCCTCATTGCACTATGCTCATGCAGTCATTCCTCCCTTTAATTTGTACAATTATAAATTTATAATATTGGTTTTACATTATCGTGATTTTTATTAAGAATTTGTTTATCTTGACCAAATGCTACTTGGTTCATGGGACAGGTATTGGTCTACAGCATTAAAAGATATTATTTTCTTGTTTTTCTTCCTGGTATACAGGTTGATGATCCTGTTGCTTCGGTGAAAAGGCTTTTTATACCTACGCCTGCAAAAAGAAAGAAGCTTATCCAGTCTAGTTAAACACAATATATTGCCACCAGATTGCAAACCAGTGCAGTATGTTACGCTCTCAATTCACAAGAGGAAATGAAAGCAATGCATTTCATAATGGAGATCAATTTTATTCTGAGCCCCTTGGTCCTAGAGATGAGGTGGGGATGAGTTGTCTGACCAGTTCCTGTATTGCTTGAGATGTCTATTAACATTTTGAAATCGAAATAGATAGAGAGAGAGAGAGAGAGAGAGAGAGAGAGAATATCCTTTTTTATGACTGCATTATTTTACATTGTAAAAGATCCTATGATAAATATTATTCAAAAGTATGAATGCAGTACAAGTTTGCCAACATTTTGTCCCCTCCTTTACAAAAATTGTAAAGTAAAAGAGTTCCCGATGAATGCAGTACAAGTTTGCCGACATTTTGTCCCCTTTACAAAAATTGTAAGGTAAAAAAGTTCCCCTAAGCATTTCACTCATTACATCAGACCACAATTTGTGATCATCACTTTGGAGTAAGGTCGGTTGAAGCCTCTCTCTGCAACAACAGCCCTTTTATCTCCTATCAACTTCGCTACCCTGTTGGAAAGAACAACTATTAGTGTTAATGTGTTATAATCTCAGTTATGATCACACCATGCCAGTGAAGATTTAACTCTTGGCAAATTTTCTTTATCTCTCAATTAATGTTATTTCTATGTTTCTTTTATTTTCAATTCAAATTTATATGCAATGATCAAGTTGCTTATACACCCAATTATTATGTAATGCACTTAAACTAATTTTCCCTTTTCACTATCCATGTGTATTCAAGTGGTTTTTTCAAGATATGCAGGTTTTAGCCATACAAGAAGCATGAAGGAGCAAGAAGCAGTTACCTAAAGTAAGGAGAAGTGGTATTCTCTTTCACAGTTTTCACCTGACCAATTCTCTCCACTACATCCATCCCTTCCAGCACTCTTCCAACCACCAAAGCTGAGCTATCCAACTCAGGTGAGTCTTTTGTAGCTATGATGAACTCGGTTCCATTTGGAGCCTTTCCCACTTCCTCTTGATCAATCTCCAGCTTCCCATTGCGTGCAACGAGTTTCACTTTTGGGGGTGGTTGTGATGGATCTCTGACTATGATACTTATGCTCCCAGCTACATTCTTAGTTCCGGGGCAGCTTTCATATTGCTTCTCCCATTCAGCAACAAGGCTATCAACTGTCATGTTGCTTCCTCTTCTACTTGCAAGCTCAGCATCCACACCGTATGACCTCACCCCACCATGTTGCACATAGCTTGGCATGATTTTCACAAACTCTTTTCTCCTGTAACTGATGCCTGCTCTCCCACTTACGAGATTACTGAATCTTGCTGTGCCACCAGGGACAGTGTTCCCGTACAGCCCTATAACAATTCTTCCTACAGGTTCCCCATCAATAGATACTTCAAGAAATGCACGGTTTGTCAGATTTTGACCTGCACAGTAGTTATTCTTTCCTGAATCATTTTCTGGTTGAGTTGCATTGGTGTTTTTAGAAACTTCATCTGCCTTTGCCTCGCTCTCCCCCATGCCATTTTCCTTTTCGGTTACGTAAATGTTTTCAGAAACTTCCTCAGTCCTTACCTTGTTCTCCCCCAAGTCATTTTCTTGTTTGATTACATCAATGTTTTCAGAAACTTCCCCTGCCTTAACCTCGCTCTCCCCTGGGCTATTTTCTTGTTTGATTACATCAGTGGTTTCAGAAACTTCCTCGGCCCGTGCCTTGAACTGGTGCAATGGCACTAGTGCTTGGGTGCCTAGGAGTAGTAGCAAGGATGAATTGGCCGAAATGGCAAGCTCTCTCCGCGATAACTTGGAAGATTTGTTGAGAGCTGAAGGAGAATGAGATGTGGGTGTGGCTTGAATCTGCTTGGGAGGTGCTGCATGTGGGTGGATGATTTTAGCCGAGGGCTCAACAATCCTCTGATTAACCCACATTTGTTCTGGTTAAGACTCCTTCAAAGTTTGGCTCTGCATTTTTGAGGGGGTGAACCCTTTGTCCAAGTTGAGTGCAATGTGTGGATGAGAAGAAGCCAATTGCTGAGGTCCCATTTTATTGATCAAAATGCATCCACAACTCCAATGCTATTGGTTCATTTGGTTCTCAATACTTTAGTGGGCCATCCAATAGGAATTTATTTTTAATTTCCCCCCCCACCCCCCCCCCCCCCCCCCCCTTTTTTTTTTTTTATTCAAGTGTTGAAAATTGCATTTTAATGATAATTTTTTAAAAGAATACTACATGGATTCCTAAATTTATTTTAAATTTTTTTTTTTATATTTTTAATCACTACACTTGAACCTTGAAGTATACTATTTTTTTGGGACCCATTTGACGATAATGCCTTACCAATGCTTATAGCATCATGGAGTTTAATTGAGGAAGTAGAATTTAGAGGTCCATGACTCCATGTAGAACTCATTTAGATCGTGTCATGTTAATATTTCATCTGCTGTAACTGTTTCACACAATATGCCAACTCTTGAATTGGGATGAGACTCGAACTTGTGACTTTCCGTTTGGAATGGTAACAATGATGTCATCAAATCATAAAATACTTGACAATAAATTTAGGAGTTAGAACCAAAAAAGTTTATTTTGACATAAAATTAACCTAGAATTAACAAGCTCAATAGCCTAAATAAATGACTCCAAAATTTAGTGAGTTGGCCTAAAGGACTAACTCAATAGCTCGACCTGCTCAAGGCTTTCTTTGTTTCACAAATAATATGAAATAAAATATATATATAAGCTTCTCTTTTACATTTTTTTTCTTTTATTTTTATTTATTTTTAAAATAAAATTTAATAAATATATTAATAAAGTTACTATAAAGTACATTATTTTTTTATGAAAAATAAAACTTTTTATTATTATATGACATGCAAATATATTAATTATTTTTAACCAGGACTATGTGGTCTAATGGTATCCGGGTTGGATTTCCATTTGGAAGATTATGAGTTCGAGCCTTAGTGGAGGTAGCATATATATTGAAATTTAAAATTAGACATTTAAATTAATTAAATGATATTTTAAATTTATATTGTAAATGTGAGAGTTTATCAAAATTGGAAATAAAAGATTTTAATTGAATCCATCCAATAACTTGAGATTTTAAGGTTTATGATAAAAATAAATAAATAAATAAAATAAAATAAAAAAAATTAACCCAATAAAAAGTTAAATCTGTTAAGCTCAACCCAACAATCTTACGGGTGCTTTCTCCAATAGTGAACAAAATTTAAAATGGATTTCAATTGGGAACAAAATTTGAATTGAGGCAAAATAAGGAATAATGTATTTCAGTTCGTCTTGTTATCCAAAAGCATAACATTCCTTTCTGTTTGCCTTGTTATTGTTTAGGAAAAGTCAAAGTTGTTTTTCATGTTGATATTTGTGTTGTGATTGAATAATAATTTTGTGTTGATTTACAAATGATTAATGGATAATGTAAAAATGATTACTAATTATTGGTTCATGAATTATATTATGTAATTGTATTGATTGATTGCTAATGATATATTTATTATAATATTGTTGTTGTAATGCAGATTTGTCTGCAGACCTTTAGCTCGCGAAGAACAGTATAAACAGGAAGAAGAAAATAAAGAAGGAAAGAGATTTCTTATTCATTCATCCACTCTGTACATCACTACTCAATATATATAACAACTATTACAAGATCATGCCATAAATATAAAGCCGTTACCAATCATATCATTAATGCTAGAATAATGTCCATAATTAGATTTTACAACACTCCCCCTTGGACATTATTTTGCCATAATCTTGCCTCATTAAAAACTTGCTAGGAAAACAATGTGGGAAAAAACCTAGACAAAGAAAAGAATGCAAGATTTATGGGTAATTATATTCATGCCTCATTAAAAACTTTACTAGGAAAACCACGTGGGAAAAACCTAATTGAAGAAAAGAGTACATGATATTTTTAAGAACATATATTGTACTGATTGCCTCATTAAAACCTTAACTTAAGAAAACCCTGTGGGAAAAAACTTAGTTAAGGGAAAAAGAGTACAATCATAAGCCTTCAAGGAACAATTGGCATAATCTTCAGGATTTTTGGGGTTTGTCTACATAAATAACTATTTTGTGACATTTCCCCATTGTCATTACTATATCATACTCATGTCTCGTTAAAACCTCACTAGGAAAACCACTTGGGAAAAACCTAGTTGAGGAAAAGAGTGCATGATGTATGTGTATTCTTGTTTTAGATTAGCTGCCTCATTAAAAACCTTAGATTTAAGGAAAAACCCCGTGAGGAAAAAAAAACTTAACTAAGGAAAAGAGTACAGCTGTTTAGTTGTCAAGATCCAATCTTCAGGATTGATCCATGTAAGATAATACTCCCCCTCAAGATAACAATCTTCAAATCTCACGCATAAAATATATTTCAAAAATTGTAGAAATAGATTGGACAAATCTTCCGGATTGTCACTAGAGTAAATATCTTGTACAATAATCTTATGTCTCTTCTAGAGCTCATATAACATTTGTGCAACACAAGTGTTATTATCCTCATTTTGAACATTAAGGAAAATTCATTGTATAACCAGTTTGGGACTTGGCATTACAGGGATCAAACAAAAAGCCAGTACCCAAGTAGCCTATTAAAATTGTATCATAGTTTATTACATAAATGTCATGTCTTTGTACCTTGAATATACCGGATGATATGTTAATCATTATTCAAGTACTTCATTGTAGGAGGAGCACTAGATTCTGCTAGCTATTTCATTGCAAATATCATGCCTGTTGCGATTATGGAACTTCTGGTTCTAAAATAGTGCTCCAACGATAATGAAGTAAAGAACTTCGAGTCCAAACGGTTCCTTATCTACTTCAAGAGATTATTAGACAACCTTATAGTTTGACGAAACCATAATACTTAACCATATAGATAGGTGAAAAATAGGTTAACTGGTGTATAAAATTCATTCAATGGAAAAACTCGATCTTCAAGTCGAGATAATACTTAGCTTTCACAAGCCTTTTATTTCAAAAAACTCCGTCTTTAAATATGAGCTGACATCATCAAGCCCTTTATATATTTCATTGATGTTTTCCATCATCAATACTGACTTAGATAATAAATAATAAATAAGTTCATTATCAACCATTTATCGAGCACACAATGGTACATATTATTCCTTCAAAGGATATTAACTCCATTCGCAACCCTTTAAAGAGTAAATATAATGACACTTAAATTCTCATTTCGGGAATTATAAATCCATCAGGTATTTCTCAAAATAAATATTAACTATTTCAGGTCCTATAAAGACCTTAATAT